TAGGTAGAAGCAGCCACATGGCAGGCCACACTCTCTCAGAGGCTGATTCAATCTCTGCTTTGCTTTTGATACCTTCCCTGCCACGCACATTATACTTTTGTTATAGAATAAGACCTATTATATCGCTTATTACTATTTTTTAATTTATTGGGGTGACATTAGTTAATAAAATTATATAGATTTCAAGTGTACAATTTAATAATACATCATCTGTATATTGCATTGTGCGTTCACTATCCTATGTCAAATCTCCTTCTGTCGCCACATATTTGACCCCATTTTCCTTTATCTATCTGTTATTTTTAATTTCTTATATCACTTGTTATTGTCTACTTTATTCTATGGTTATTTGTGTACTTGTTTTTCTATTGGACTGTAAGCTTTGAAATGCAGAGTCCATATTGACTCATCTGTGTACACCAAAAAGTATGGTAAAATTGTTCAACAAAAATATGGAGCACAACTGAGAGACCCAAAGGCCCTGACTTTTACAAAGCAGACTTAGAAAATACAGCACATATGGAAATAGGATCTGAATTGCTCAAAAAGCTATGGAATTTAGCGTGTGTACATGCTACAGTCTGCGCCCATAGGTGTGAGTGTTCAGAAGACTTTATCTCTTCTCTGGGGAGTAAATTTCCAAAAGAATATTTAACTTAAATTCCTAAAACTAAGTGAGTGAGTAAGATCATCTCAATAATAAGACTTTGCATTTTTTTAAACATCCTTGCAACACTTTTGGATAACTATCCCATTTCTATGGCAGCAGAGTTATAATTACAACTCAAACCTTCTGGTTTCCAGTCAGTGATCTTTCCACTAGGGAAGACTATATTCATTCCAGAATTAAGCCTCTGAACCTAATCCATAGGACTAGGAAGAGATGCAGACCTGAATTTCTGGAAGTCTCTGAGCACGGATTCGGATCTGATGTTTCTCCCGGAGGTAAGTGCTGACCACGTCAGGATTCAGCCAGGTGTTGTGGATCTGGACACCAATTTTCATTCCCCTACTGGGTGCTCTTCCATGATGTTCTGCCTCCAGGTAGTACCTGGCTCCACCAAACAGCTCTAACTTGGTGGTCTTCTGTTGCCAGGGCCCTTCATCCCCACTCTGCTCCCAGGAGTCAAACCAGTCAGCAGTACCCATCCTAATAGAGGCCACCTTCACCTATATCCCAATAAACATATCATGATCAACATTAGGAAGCTTCTGGGCATCTCTTTCTCATGCAGCAAATGCCTGAACAGTTATTAACAAAGGATTTGGGAATCGGTCTGTCTTTTTCAACACATTTGCCAACTCACTCTAGGGCCTATGGTTATTTATGCTTCTGACTCCTTGTTCTCTCTTACTCTTTTTCTCAATTGAATAGTATCCATGTAAGGCTGAATGGGCCACATTTGGAGCAGGTACAGCCAATCTGAAACCCTAGATTCACATGATGCTGTGGATAAAATAATATTAAGCCCTTCAAGAAATCTATAATGACTTGACCACATCAAAATCTATTATGTTTCTCTAGCCAATAAGCAAAACAATTTCATAGAAGCATATAAATAATTTGAGAAAAATAATATTGTGGTTCTTTGTCAACAGCACTAGTGAATTTTGGCTGTTTGGTAAAATCGCCTCCTCTTATCCTTCAAAACTGATCAAGAAATTCCTATGTAAGACTGACTACATCTCTACTCAAAATTAAGGGAAAAAGCACAAGTTTTGGAGTCAGACAAATCTGAGTTTGAATTGTAAATATCTCTTATTATCCAAATGTCCCTGGATAAGCCATATGATCCTTCTTAACCTCAATTTCCTTATCTGGAAAATGGAGATAAATACATATAACTCAAAGAGATGCAGTAAAGATTAGAGACAAGATATATAAAAGATGTAGCATAATGCACGTCTTACAGTAAGTGCTCAATAAACAGTAGGTGCCAAAACATTCAGCAAAATTCTTTTCAACAATTAAAAGCATGTCAATTACATCTTAATTTGAGAAACTTTTAAATTTAAAAAAACTCCTTATCTCATCAAAAAATATATATTAAAATTCCTGATTGCCTAATGGTGTGTTACAACTATTAGTACAACATGAGAGCTTTAGTTTTGATTTTTTTTCCAGGAGTGAAGAACTGAGGACAAAGAAAAGGACAATGAGAAGAAACTGAATACCTTGGATCTTGGATCCTCTGATCTACTGAAATACAGGGAAGCTTGGCTGTCTGCCTGGATCCAAAAAGTGTAATTATTCGTCTCTGGGGCCACAAAGAATCCACTGAGCCGTGCTCTGTAAAGCAAAATAACACAGAGTAAAGCCAGAGGAACCAAGGCCTGAACGACTGACCCAGCAAATGGTTGCCCTTGTACTTTGTTTTTCTTTATGGTAATGAGGAAGAAACACTTGACTCTTGTGCCATGTGATTGGCTACAGTACTCTGGAAACAGCTATTCCTGTGGCACCTGCCTAGTCTCAATATCTCAGCTCCTGTCTTCACACCAGCCACAACTCCCCCTGTAGTAACATCAACTTCAGGAAACTTGTAGCCACAACACAGGGCTGTCCAGAGGCTTAGCTGACAACACCTACCTAACACAGCCTGTGCAGGGCCTGGCCCATGGTATGAACTCAATCGATAGTAGAAATTATTTTTTAATTAGAAATAAAAAGATCACCAATCGCAATTTGCTCTGACTTAATCTAGAACCCTCATCCCTTGTCTCCTTTCCCAACACATTCATCCATCATGAGGTATATTAGATCACCCCTCTAGCTAATGTCAGATGTTAGCTACTTTATATTTAGCATGTGTGTAGCTGTAAGATCACCATAAATTAGCAAACGTTTCCTGCCAAATAATCTTACTTGGCTCCTAGACAACATTGTGCAGTTCTTTATGAAGGGAATAAAGTAATAGACCTAAAATGGCTCCAAATGATATTAAGAGAGGCTTCTATTTCCTCTCCCTCATGACAGATATTAATTTCATAGAAACAGAGTTTGTTTATGTGAGGTTTCGGAATACTGGTGTGTCCTTTTTAAAATACCATATTCCTGTGGGTAAAGAAAGATGTGTGCCATAATGTGACATAGGTGGACTTCGGGAGAAATCACAAGACTTGAAATCAGAACAATTCAGAGCTTGGTTCTGCTACTTGATAATGGTATAATATTAAAAAAAAAAAAAAAACCACTATACCTATCAGAAATTACAGTTCCTCATCTACAAACTAGCTCTATAAATATTTCCTCAGTTGTTGTACCTCATGAAATAATGTATCTCAGAAGGCCTGGAACATAGTAATGAGTTTATATATATCAGTTAAACTGAATAAGAAGATCAGGAGACACAGTTGGAAACACAGGAATTTCAGTACAGACATGTGCATGATAAGGCTGGTCACTCCCCAAGGTTAATGGCCTTATTCTAGACCTCCTAACCCTCACAATACTGAACACAGTGTTGTATTTAATGTAGGTGGTCAGTAAATAGTTTTTAATTACTTGGGGTTTACTAACTAAATGATATTTCACACATGCACACAAAAAAATTTTCTCAGAGCTCACCAGATACCTCAATACCTGCAGAGAGTATTTTTTCTAATTAAAAATATTATGGTCCACAGAGAAAAGTCAACTGAACATGTCAACAATTTCAAATTAAAATATATAACCTCCAACTTTGAAGAAGATTGCAGGTAATTTTATGAAATATTTTAAAAATAAGACCATCTTTTTTAAATATTTAATATTAATTCTAGTGACCTATTACTGGAGACAGATATGGCTATGATTAAACTATCTCAATAAATATCAAGAACAGTTTCTGAAATAGTTTTAAAAATAACTATTTTAAAGGCTTATCAATATAGTAATTAATTTATCAATTAACCAATAAATATATCAATTTTAATTAAAAATTTTTGAATTTAAAAAAAATGAATGACAGAGAATAGAAAGATTTATTATCTGGTTTATGGCTCCTCAAAATGGCAGTTAAAGAGACACACCTTACAGGTCAGACCATACAGTCAAAATGCTATTTTGTCTTTTGACGTGATCTGACTCTCTCCTAACAATCTCCACAGACTGAATACAGCCAAAAGGTTTTCTTTTGAACATTATTGATGGTTCTCAAACTATGATAAAGATACATTTTTAGGTGTCACATGGGACCACAAATTGTTGCCACTTTGAAACCATATATTGGTGGTTAAATACATAGTCAGTAAGGCTTCCAGGACAACAGAGACTCTATTCTGTTCACAGGTTTCCTTCCTCCGTTGGCTTCTTCGATGTCTCAAATTCCCTGAATAGAGAGCAAAGCCTTTCATTCCACAACTAAATTCATATTTAAAATGGTCAAATCCTTGGAGGTCACAAGATGGCTGGAATTCACACTCAGGGGTCATGACCAACCTCTCTGAGAAGAATAAAGGATCACACAGTAAAGGAACTATTCCTCTCTATGTAGAGTACACTAAGGAAACTGTGTGTCTAAGCAATTCTCACATTTTTTATACTTTTAAGCCCACTTTAGAGAACTAGAAATTTTGACAACATCCTTGAAGGAATTAAAAAGACTCAAAACAACATAATCACAGTGCAGTCACTAATACAAAAAACAATGTCTCACAGAGCCCATAATAACTTCCCCTGCTATAAATCTGCCATTCGGTTCACCTTTGACACCAGGTAGTTGCAACAGAACCGTTTGCCGCCCAGCCTTTGCTCTCTCATGTGACCAATAGGCAGATTCTCACATCTTTCTCCAGCATCAACCAGATATTAGTTTCACCTCTTGACTATGTATCTGCAGCAAGTTTTCTCCTAACTCTCCTGACCAACTCAGCTGAATGTCCCTAAGTTGTAAACTAAGTTGTAGAAAATATAGATATTACCTATTGATCAAAATTTAGTATGCGCCTATAAAAGGCCTCTAGCATCCTAGCATAACCGACATCGGTGGAGAACAGTAATCTAACTATTGTTGTATTGGTGGATGTTGTAAATTTTCCTGTGGAAGTCTAATTCTTTCCTTCTCTGTCTTCTAGTCTCACCTAGGCTAGTAAAGATGCTTTTGATATGGACTGCTACTTTTCCTACAACATACCTGAAAGGTTGCCCTTCCTTTGACCAAAATCCAAATGGAGAACTGGCATTTGGAACAATCTGCCTCATGTACCCGGGGGTAGCTTCAGTCAGGTCCAAGCCCTCAGCAGCATAACCAACTTCAAAAAGAAGCCCTCGATTGCCTGTAAGACATGAATACCTCATAAACATCAGAAGGCATTCCTCCCCCAAATAGGGAATTATTTTACTTCAGATAATAGAGTAAAGATGATGAGTTAACTGAGATCCAGATGGAGAAGTCATATGAGAGGTTCTATAGATAATACAAATGTTCTGGAATGCAGAAAATACTGCTTGCTGTAGGATTTAGTCACTTGGGAAGAGAGGCTTGATAAAGGACAGTAAGGGGAAATATTTTCAGAGGACTAGAGAAGAGTAGGGAGCCCTTTTTAATGGGAGTGTCTGGAGAAAAGAACCAAGTCCTGGAGAAAGTGTGAAAGAGCAAACAGATGCTCTGGCTGAGTAAAGGGAATAATATGATTGTGTACTTGTGACTTGTCTTGTTCAGGAGTGGACTTCAGCATCTTAAGGTCCAGTTCAGCCTGGGAGTTCTATTTACTAACTCTTTTTTTTTCTCCCCCAGAAAATTAGCAATCCTTACATTTTAACAAGTCATGGCCTCAATTTGTGAACCTGCACATAGAACAAATTATGTGACATGCAACTATTACACGACATTTTCAATGATGTTGTACTTATTAATTTGTGTTTTATAATAAGCAAACTCTGAGACCAAAGGCATATGTGTAATCAATATAGGATATAAATTTGAATTGGGGGTAAAAACTCTGGAATCATATATTTGTCGGTTTATATTCCAGCTCTGCCACTTACTACATGTGTAGCTTTGAGCAAATTGCTTAATGTCTTTATTTTCTCATGCACGGGATAGAGATAACACATTAAAGACTAAGGGAGTTTGAGTTACATGTCAATTATATATCAATAAAGCTGGAAGGAAAATTAAGTCAATTTGACAATTCTGGCCGAAAAAAAAGACTAAGGGAGCTTGAAATATGTATATAAAGAGCCCGAAGTACAGTATCTAATCAGTAAAGGATAGCTAGGATAATTATTATTACTTTAAACTACTACTATCATTTCTCATTAATCCTTAAAAAGGGAAATAGATACAGAATAAGCAGAAAAATAAGAGCTTATTTTAATATATTGCTTGAGGTTTCCCAGCCTCGGTACTTGGACATTTTGGGCTGGGTAACTGTCCTGAAGGCTGTCCTGTGCATTAAAAGATGTTTAGTGGCCCCTCTGGACTCTAGCCACTAGAGGCCAGCAGCAGCACCGCTGCCAACCCAGTTGTAATAACCAAACATTGCCAGATGTCCCCTGGGGACCACTGAGAACTGCTGCTTTGCTTAATAATTTGCCCTACTTCCCTGAGAGAAACTTCAAAAAGTCTTCATGAATATATTGTTACCTCTCAAAACAGCTGCACTCAGGGAAATTATCCTACCTCTACCCAAGTAGCTAAAGCAGGAACTTCTGAAAGAGGAGACAGCTCTCTATTTCCTAACACAGGAAATGCATTCAATCCATCACTTGCATCAGTAGTTTTGTTTTCTTGGATGGAAGTAAAAACTGAGTAAAAACTGCAGATCTGGGACCTGGAGAATGCTCAAGCCAAAGCTTTGCATGCATTTTCACACCTGAGTGGTCTTTCTTTAGGAAGATTTCTCCACCACCCCGCTGGGTTACTTTCCTTGTAAGCACTGAGCTTCTGGTGTTGAGCTCACGGGCTGTAGTTTAACCATGAACCAGCCCTCATGGGGCAGGTAAGGAACACAGACACGCAGTCTATGAATCTGGGTTGTGTAACACACCAACTGCCCTTAATCCCTAACTACACTCAAGCCACCAGTTCTAATGCTTACCAGAAAAGTGCTCCAGGGGTCTACTTTAAATTTGCAGCCATGAGGTGAAAGCTTTAAACAGAGAAACACAGGTGGAACCTGCTACCTTGCCTTCTCCATTCTGCCCACTAAGCCATAAACTGGTGGCGATGTCACGATACATCCCTGCTTTTCCAAGTATCAGACAGGTGCCGCAGGGAAGAAGAAACAACATTTAAATGCACCCCATTGTGCCTCACTCTCCGGCCTTGCCTAATGCTGCCGTTATGAGCACAGAAGAGCGCACTCTAATGCTCCCATCTTCTTAAACGATGGGCATTCAATTTGCCTCTAGTGTGGAGGGAAGCAGCTTAGGGGTTCCCACCAGTATCTATAACAATGTCTTAATTGCAGTTATGCTTCCTGGATCATGGTCTCCACTGAACCCACTGGCCATTTGTCTGGCTGGGGCTAGGAGTGGTGAGTGTCAATGAGCATCTGAACAAAACTAAGAGACACTCTGAAATGAGAGCCTTGACAGTGGTATCACAGACTCAGAGCTCACTAAGCTAACCAGTCAAAAGCTGAGACAGAATGCAAAACAGTCTCATTTCTACTTCCCATTCCCTGGGGGTTAAAATGTAACCAGAGGTCATCGAACAGCCCTGGTGACTTCCTTACCTGCTTGAGGCGCAGTGAGCCTTGCACCTTCTCCTGGAGCCCTAGTAGTACACTCAATCTTCCTGGGAGACACGTGTCTCACATCACATGGAATGCCTGAGGAGAATTTTTTAAATTAGATAGGTATAGATATAGGTATGTAGATTTGATGACAAGACCACAGGACCACACTGAAGTAGACAGGCTCTTAATTAAGGCAAAGGGCTGGATGTGAATAGTATAGCAAAAGTTGTCACCCCGACTGAAGCAGGCCAGGAAAGAGAGATTGCAGAGCAGTAGAGCATAGGACAACTTAAAATCAGAAAGAAAGCAATGCAATTCAGTGCCATCACTGAAGATGTCCTAAACCACTCAGCTGAGCTTAGGGGTGGGGGGGGGTGGGGGGTGAGTTGTGATATGAGAGTGCTAGGACATTTTCCTGGTCCTCGATGTCACCACCTAGAGGAGTATTCCAGCTGGCAGAACAAAAGTTTCAAGACAGATTCCACAAAAGGATTTGCCATGAAGGCATTCCAGAAGAATCTGCATAGCAATTGCCTGCTCATTCTTGCCTGTCTTTATAGAGGAGGCTAAGAGGGAAGAGGGGACGGGGTTTGGGGGGGAGTTGTCTTTTAGTAGGAGTAGACCTTTGTGAAAAGGCAGCTATACTTTTCCCTTCTCTTCACTCCCAAGATGGGGACACTTGAGGGAGTTGTCTATGAATTGTGAGTGTGTCTGCAGGACATCCCATTCCTGTTACATGTTTGCAGAGCTGCAAGACTGCAATCCCACTTGGTCTCAACCAAACACAGGTAAAATACCTTAGAGCAATGTAGCACAATGAGTTGGAAAAGACAGACTTTTTCCCCCAACTCTCTCCATGCCATAAGAGATACATAATCTCCTACACCATTTAAAACTGTGAACTATTTTTAGTCATTTCAACTTATTTACCTGAAATGGTAACCTGGGCAGGAATGTCAAAGAAGTCTCCTGTAATTGTGATGTCTGTTCTTCCCCCAAGGCTCCCAGTTTCTGGAAACACAGATAGTATTTCTGCAAGAGACAAAAAGCAGGCATCCAAATATAGACCAGGATGTGACCCAGATAATAATATAATAATAGAAACTATCAATAATTTATTTCTTCCCTTAACTTCCCAAGACTAGCAACAGTTGGAATTTTTGGCAGTAATAGTCATTTAAAAATGCACATAATAAGAAAAGAACTCACATATACCAATATGTATAATAACACACATTATACAGGATCAGTATTTGAAAGGAAAGAAAAGTGCCATCACTCAGGCTATCAGCAAAAATCCCAACATACCACAATGCATTCTTAGGAAATCTGTGTCTTGACCTCAAGGATCTATTTACAAGTCACAGAACAGTAGATTATGTTTTATGGAGGAATCAACTTTGGATGTACCAGGCAAGGTCTCAATTTATTCACGAGTCGGCGATTTGCTCTAGCAAAAGAATGAATTACGCTGTCTTCGGTTCCCTAGCACTCCTTCCCATCCTGCATACTCTTTCACTCTGTATGCACTCACATGTCATCCCCAGTTTTTTCATGCTACCTTCTGATGGCTTTCGACCTTTTAGTAATATGTCACATATCCCTGAGAATTTAACTTTTCTAATTCCTTCCACTCTTATGATCAAACTTTGACGGTTCTAAGTTTTATTCCCTCAAGGGGAAGAAGAGTTGTATCCTATGATAAACTGAGGGTACAATGAAGTTAATCATGAATGGTTACCAATTCCAAATAGGTATTCTATCAGGGCAATTTCTGCCCATGAGACAAAGCAGAGGAGCTTTTGAGTGCAAAGATTGATCCTCCACACTCAAATATCAAAATTCAACTCTAATAATAATAACCCCCTTCTTTTCATCTACTATTTTATAATTTTTTTTCAATGTTTGCAAAGCACATACTATGTGGCACAAGGAATACACAGATGAATACGAAATAGTTCCTGTCATCAAAGAGGTCAGAACAGTAAGGAAGGGCAGATACACAAACGGATAATTATCATATCTTGGGCTAGCAAAATTAGAGAGTGAACATGAAAGTGCAGAGAAGAAGTTTAATCATAAGGTGGGAGTATGGTGAAATTGAAAAACAATTCTAGAAGTGACACTTGAGGTGAATGTTAAAGGATGGATTAGAACTGGATGAATAAAGGAGAAAAAGAAGGGAAAGGGCATTTAAAGGAAATGATAGCCCGAGTGTGGAGAGAAGGGATTGCACAGTGCATTTAAGTGTTGCTCGAATATAAAAGAGAGAGATGGAGCTGCAGAAGCAGACAAGGAGAGGATCAGAAGCTTGTACCATTCCCTGTAGGACATGAGAAGCCATTAGAGGATGGGAAGCAGGGGAGAGGCATCAGATGCGTGCTTGATGAAGAGAATGGTGACGGTTAGGAAGCGCAAGGATCAGTAGGGACAAATGGCAGGTTGGGGGCCCCTTAGAAACCACTGCAGCATGCCAGGCAAGAGATTATGGAATCCTGAATTAATGGTCATAGAGACAGAGTAGATACATTATATTTAAGAAACATATGATAGATAGAATTCATGGAAACTGGGGATAAAATCGATGTGGAGATGAGGGGAGAGAATCCCAAGATTCTTGCTCATCTACTTCTACTAACAACTTTTGTAGTTAGAAGGACAAACAGCATTTTGTCCACTTTATAAATGTTTAATTGGGGCTCAGAAAGGCTAACTGAGTTAACCAAACTCAACCAGTAATTGAATGCCAGCCCTCAAGGAGCTCAACACAAGGCACTTAGCAGGTTCACATCCCCTCTCTTCATAGCCTCTTCTGCTATGAAAAAGTTCCGGCCTGAGAGTTTACATCCCAAGAAGACACTGGTGCTGGAAATATGAGATAGCTATGTGATCAGAGATGTCTGCCAGCCAATCTGGTATTCAGGGTTTAATACTGATGGGCAGACTCGCAAAGGACCTTAGAGTAGGTGGTAAGGAGAGTTTACTTCCCATAGTATATTGGTAACGTGCCTGAGACTTGGAATTAGAGCTGCACTTTCTCACACTAGAACTTTTGGACATACTACTTTGACTCTGACTGTTTTTTCATCTGTAAACTTAGGCCAGCTTTACCAATCTCAGTTAAATGAAATAAATATTGAGATCGTATGTAAAACACTCAACGAGGTCCTGCCATTCTTCTTGCTGCTGCTGCCACTATCACCATCATCTCAGGTGCTTCTTCAAGTTTACTACAAAAGAGACCAATTACACTATTTAAAGAAAATAAAGACAAGAGTGAAAATTCAGCTTTTGCAGAATTAGGCTATCTATGGAATAACTGGCATTTGCCCCATGACTTATGAAATTTCTTGTACTTTTGGCAAAAGTAGATTCTGCTGCCTCTGGAATCTGCACCTACCTCACAGACATTTCTTCGGTGGCTTTGTGATTGTATTCAAGCCTAGAATCTAAGTACTCTTCTTTAGTAGTCAGTTTTCCTCTACTGAATTGCATTCACAATTTCATGGTTTTTAGTATGGAGTTTAGTATGGAAAAGATGTGCTTTTAGATTTTTCAGTGCTACCTCTCTTTTTTTATTTATCAGAACAGAACAAAATTGGCTCCCCTTTCTTTCATTCAGTCTATATCCAGAAACTTTGTATGGAAGACTATGATTGAGCTTTTTTTGGAATATGGCAACAAAAGCTGATGCTCATATAAGCAACTAATTCTCATCTAAAACCAAAGGGTCATCCATGATTGCAGGATAGCTTCTGGTGTTGATAGTCATAGAGAAAATAGCCAGAAGAAAGGGAAGGAGGGTCCAACATTGAGTGAGGTGTGAGGGAACGAGCGAGAGTTAGGGTAAAGAGAAATAGTACCTGAGTATGTCTGGTACAGGAAAAGTTCCTGTTTAGCACTGATCAGCCATGCATTCTTATGTACCATCGACCTTCAAAAAGGACAAAATCGTGTTTTGGAAGAAAACAGCATCGGAAATTGCATTTATTTAAATTGGCTGCCTGAAAGGAAGATCATGGACTAACCCTTAGTGAAATTTAAGACATTTTAGATACCATGTCCTTTTGATGACCAAAGAATGATACCAATGGGGCAAAGTGTATATTCTGATCTAGAAAATTAATGTATGAGAATAATAATACCTACTTCACAGAATATCAAAAGCATTAAATAGAATGATGAATGTGAAAGGGCCTGGTATAGAGCTGGCCAATAGGAGATACGCAATAGATATTAGTTTTATTACATAATGACAGAATACGAGGTAAGTCATACAGAAAGAAAATTAAAATTCTAATTTATCTCTCTGGTTCTATGAAATTTGCACCCTTTCCATTTTGAAATTCCTGGAATGGTATAATGTTATGTCATAGAACTATGTACGGTTTTAAATTTATAGTATTATGAGATTACTTGTGATGTAATTCCCAAAATTCTGTACCATCACCACATTAAAATATTTACACCGACTCAAGATGAGTACATAGGACACAATCATATTCACTCAATTTTAAAAAAATCAACCGGTCACCCAGGGTTATATTATTTTATTTTGTTCATGTATGTTTGAAATTCTTCATTATAAAAGGTTAAAAAAAGTAAGCAAGACAAGAGAATGACACTATAAGATGAAGACAAATTTGGTTATTATTCCCAATTACTTACTTTCCTTTGTTAAATATTGAAAAACTAACATTCTGGGAGCCTGTAACAAAAAGAAACAGATGTTAATACAGGAATCCGCATGGATCACCTTGGCCAGGCCACTAACACCATTGACCTAAGGACTTCAGATATCACCCAAACCTGTAATTTCCTTAATGGTGCCCAAAATAACATCTCCCAGACTTGCACCATCAGCAAGGTAGACTTCTCACAATAAAAGGAGAAATGTAGTAGCACACAGCGAGTAAGAGCCCAGTCTTGGAGTTAGACCAAGCATGAGAAATCCTGCTCTACTGGTTACCAGCTTCAATTTTATCACCTGTAAAGTGAAAATAATTCCACTAACCTCACAGATTTATTGTGAGGATTACGTTAGTTTATGATTAAGCTACTTCATATAATGCTTTCCAGGGAGTTCTCAACAAATGATAGTTATTATTATCATCCTGAGAACCAATTTTTGAAATAAGTTTTTTCCAGACACAGAGAAAGAAATGGATAAGACTTTTAAATTACGTGACTTCTCAAACATACCAATATAGTTGCCTTCCACGCGGCACTGCAGAGTCCCAAGACCATGGTCTTCCTGAATAGGGTAGCTAGGGATAAAAACAAAAACCTGAGGTGAGAATTACCAGACAAATCAGTTCAGAAGTTCTAACTCTTTAGCAAGGAAAGTGTAAAATAAAATATAAATTAGCCAGAGAAAACTGGTAATATTGAAAGTATAATGAGCTCATTGGGGTAAATGCTTAGCGTAGTATTAGGTAGAGTTATCATCAATACATTTACTACTAGTCAAACACAGTGTGAGACAAAATTTAACTTTTTCAGTCCTTTCTTTCCAAAATCTGTTTTATGACAAGGATAGCAAAATCCTTGAAAAAATACAGAAAAAAATGTGTTAGCAAGTGTGAACACAAAAAAAAAAGGACAATCCTGAGCAAACAAATTAAAGACACCAAGAAGAAACCACATTATAGAATTTGGTTCTACTAAATGTTGTTCCTAAAAAGCTAAACCATAGAATGTAATTCTTGAATGACCTCAAAAGAGGTTAATCCACTTCATCCAGGATGAAGTAAAAATCTCACAAAATGTTGGTTATCTGAACAAAAAGCATGTAGACATACATTTAAAAAAATTGTCATAAATAAATAAATTTTAGTCACGTTTTTCTTTAGCTAGTCTATAGTATAAGGGTTAAGAACATGAGCTCTGGAAGTTGGTTTATCAATCAGAGTTCAAATCCCAGCTCTGCCACTTGCTCTTTGTGAAACATTGACCAAGTTACTTAAGTACTCAGCTTTCTTATCTGTAAATTGAGGCTAATAACTGTATGTACTCATGAGATTATTGAGTGACTTAAATGTAAAGCATTAGAGCAGGGCTTGGCCTACAGTAAGCACTTAGTAAATATTAGTAAGTATCTGGATTTAAGAAAGGTTTTCAAGAAAGTTTTCAGAATCCACTTCAACTTGCATTTTGAATCAATTACTGTCTTTTCCAGTACGTCTAAAAATAAAGCAGTCGATAGTTATGGATGACTTATATTTTAAAAAAATAGGGGTGTGTGTATGTGTGTGTGTGTTCTACCCAGGTGGAAGAACTTAAAAGCATGTATGTTGGCAAGAAAGACACTCACCGGCTTCCTGTCTGCCAGTTTACAAGAGAGCAAGGAGTAACCCATTTGTCTCCTTGGGTTTCCAAGATCAATGGGCTGCATAAAAAAATGGAAACAAAAGACAAGAGACAATAATGCAATGCTTCCAGCAAACATTCCTGGCAAAGCTCAGAGGAAAAACTATGATAAACATTCTCCTCCGGATTTATGGGGCATTACAGCGGTGGCTGAAGGCCGTGCCCTGAAGAGATGTTGAATCAAGTTCTCAACCTAAACATAGGGGTGCACAACACCATCTCATGGTTCACACGTTCACACGTTCACACTACAAAGGGAGAATTTCCTCTTTCCTGAAAACTTTCATTATCTCCACATTTGCTATATTGGGTCTATACAGAACTATAGCAGAGTGTGTGCCTTTGTCCTGCCTTTCAAAGATTGTGTTCCAGACTGATGCTGAGATGGGACCAAGTAGTGAATATGGTATATTGCCAATGACGTGCTTGGGGCTTTTATCCTCCACAGGAAGAATAATTTCCTTTCAAGACAAGTGGACCATTACTTAATGCCAGAAATGTAGATCTTAAGAGAAGTCAAATCCTTTTCTCCTCACTAGTGAAGAATCAAAGAGAGAAAGCAGAACAGAGGAGGATGCTCTACCTTGTTCAGAGGTGAAAGAAAAATTAGTCACAGTGTATAGAATCTGCTCAGCTGAGCATATAGTAAGATTATGTTCCCTCTACTTTATAAATTCTCACTGTAATTGCTTCATATATTGAATAACCACAATTGCTTAAACCTTCCCACAAACATCACAACTTCAATACTTTTCTTCTTGTTCTTCATTCTCTCAAACATGGATGATTTAATAGAATTACTTTCCATTAAAACAATCTTTGAGGAAAAATGTAATGTTGACATGCTAATCATTCACAGAAAATATTAAAAACTCACTGGTTTTCAGTCCTTCTTCCATATTTCCTCTGATAGCACTACTAGAATGTCTAAATGCACAAATGAATAACAACCAAGCCAGGAAGTTAATGGGCTTTTGGGTCCACACATTATTTTATAAAGAATTTATTTCATCCTGAGAAACAAAAGGGAGAAGGGGAAGAATAGGAAAAGAATATCCACAGATGCGATTACAGTACGATTCACACTGAGCCCAGAGTGACTAGTTGTCAGTAAATAAATGGACAAACTTAATCGTCCAGTCGCAATTACATTAACAAAATTTGCTGAAGCCCAGCTCACCAGGGACCATAAACTGAAAGAGGAAAATAGCAATTTAGCGCCAACTGCCTACAATTTATTGCTATCAGGGAAACTGGTCCCAGAAAGCAATACAGCATATCTGTAAGTAGTTGTACACAGAAACAAACATACACATACCTGTCAATGTAGTCTGCATCAAAATCAAAGGTTTCCAATTTTCCAGTGATAATCCAGCCATATACATGTATTAGTTTTCCTATGTGAAGAAGATTTTTTTAATTTAATATACTTATTTATATTAAATGTATAACATAAACCATATTTCTTTTTGTACATTTACTCAATATGTCTAAGCTGATCATGATTCAGAATATTCACTTTTTTATAAGATGTACAAAAGGAAAGGATTACCAAATATGATCCAGTGATCAATATTACAGATTAGAAAGGCTAAAAAAAAAAACAATTATCACAATTATAGACTTAATCATCTATGTGTAGAGCATGGAAGGAATAATGGGCCTTCCTCACAGTCCATTAAGCATGAAGCTTTCAAGAGGAAGGGGCTGGTTTCCACGTAGGGCCCTGTTCTACTCTCTTGAATGTGTGTAGACCATTCACCCAATGTGGGATTAAAGAACAACATGCCTTGAGGTACTCCACGCTTCAAGAGACTCTCCTCTGGACACTTCCTAATATGAACAGAGGTGATATGAGGAGTCTCATATCACACAATCTGGATGGGTATTCAGGGATACTAAAATTTTTCCATATCTCTGAGTACAAAAGATAAATATCATGGTTGACCCAAATGGACAGGAACTAAGAAAGAAGGGCTAGAGACAGCAGAATTATGGCTTAAAGGATAGGCAATGGTATTCTCACTCACTTAATAAATGTGCTCATGTTCAAAGATAGGGCAAATTGAGGATCCGCAAACAGTTGGTGTCTGCCTTGCCCACTGATAAATGGATGACTTCTACTGTTGGATTCCTTCTATGTGACTTGCGGGGATTTCCACTGGGTATTAAGTTTTTCCTTAATGCTTCCTTCTTTTGAGATCATAAGAATGAATGTATAGGTATCAGCGATCTCCTTTCCACAAGGTACATTCTCAATACTACCTCCACCCCCTCTGCTTATAGGAGTTGGGAAAGAAATTTAAAGTAGCCCCTTCTCAGAAAGAGTTTTGGGGCCCCTACCAAATGCTACACAGGTTGATTTCTTCCATAGCTGAAGAACACCTAAACTCAGTTCTGTGGAACTACATGAGGCAAAGTTTTAAGCAAACGCACCACAGCAAGGTGATGATGTTAAAGTTGACTACACAACCCCACAACATTCAAATAATTACAGAATACAATTACAAATAATTGCCTTCAACATAATTACAGAATTTAATCACTTATGCTATAATATTTTAGCACCACAAATACTACTTAGAGATGAGAGAGGTCTTGGTTAATAATGGAAAAATGGAAAAAAAAAATCGGGCAGTTTATGAGGCACTGAAATCAGAGAATGTTGAGTCCCTTCATGGACACACATAAGGCCATGAAAGTACATTGACAAAGAGTTGTTCCCTTCCCACTGTGCTTGTGTTTTATTAATAAGAAGTGACTCTCATCTGCAGTCATTGGATGACTTGCACTAAAACAATGGGAATCTTCTAGGAAGTATTACAGCCACTTTACAGGTGAATGGGTAGAAAGAGAGGAACCTAATATCTTACAGGAAGGTCACAGAATTGGCAAAAGCCTATTGTCTGAAGGTCTCTGCAACTGTCAACAATGGGCAAAATAGTTCTTAATTTTAGTAGGGTTAATTTATCAATTTCCTCACTTCGGTGGACATGATTTCTAGCTCTGATGAGCACTATTTTAAAAACTATTAACAGATTATAGAAATTAGAAATTCCTGTGAGGTTTTGTTTTGTGACTAAAAAAGAGAGAGGGGAAGAGAGGAGTTGGGGGAGAGAAAGAGAAAGAGAGAGGAGCCCCAAAAGAAGCAGACAAATGGCTAAGCCAGACCGCAGTGCTGGAGGATTCTGTATCACAGTGGAGAACTGCTAACCGCATATAGAAATTCAGCTATTCATAAACGTCATCTCTCCTGTCCCCATCATCTCCCCCACCTCCCTGGCTGCTACTCTGGGCAGGCTTCCCAAATGAAATGAGAGTAATCGTCTGGAAAGTGATTTTGAAGATGCAGCCGTGTGGATCCTGCCTGGAGGGACTCTCCTACCAGGCCAGGCACCAATTGTTCCCCCAGAAGGTGCAGGAGGCTGTGTGTAGAACTCAGACTCAGTGGGAAAAACGGACTTGACAGATCTGGTGCCAGCTGACATCCCATTTCACACTTCTAAGGGCTGGCTCCTTCCTCATCCCTCACCCTAACAAGACTTCTGCCATCTAAACAAGAGCTTTCTAACACCAGAGCAGCAGGAACCCAAATGTCTGCATATGATTTTTTCATAGACCGCATCTTTTTAATAAAACATTATTACGTCTTGATTATTCAGACAAATGCAAAGAAATAGATCTGTGAATAACCTGCACTCATTAGATAAAGCTGAATTCATATTCTTTAGTATAATTTAAATGCGCACATACATAATCTGTGTCTATATGCACACATATATACACACACATGTACAAACACTTTTTAGCAACTCAGATATTTATTTTGACATTTTTGAATAGTTAATCCATTCAAAACAAGTAGGTCAGTTTATGTATTTAGACTCAACCACATATAAAATTTAGCAACTTCTATTCCCTTACTTATACCATCTGGAAACCCTGAACAAATGAAAAACCCAAAATAGATGTAGGAATCCACCAAGAATCAGAGAGCAAATTGTATATAATCCTAGCTATGCTTATGACTTAGTTTAAGGTGGGTTTAGCAGTTCCTGAATCTCTTAGTTGCAATCCCTTCTTTTATGTAAATCCCCCAGCTTTCTCTTTTCTTCTATCCTCCTGGCCTTTGCATTATCTGTGTGCTAACTCATAAACAAGGCCCCAGGAGAAGGATAAGGGCTAATTGTCTTCATGTGGTATCCAGCACTGCTCAGCACAAGACAAAATATTGGGCATATGGGCCCACTCTAGATTCTGGCCGTCTAGGTTCAAATCTCAGCTGTACACTTATTAGAAGTTATGACTTTAGACAAATTACATAACTTTTTCATATTTCATTTCCTCATTTGCAAAATGGGAATAATAATAGTTCCTATATCAGGTTCTGGTGAAGATATAATAACATAACATGCCCAAAGCTTAGAACAGAACCTGGCTCACAGTAAGTTTCAATAAAGCTTTGCTATTATGTCAATGATTATAAAGTTACAAGCAATAATGATTTCTATTTCTTCCATTCTTCAGCAGCACCTGGTTTGACTTTGCTGGCCTCTTTTTCTTTTCATGTTTGGATTCCTTTTGTTATCAGTGAAGTAACAGAGCAAAAGTGTCCAGAGGTGAAACCAAATCAGTTTAAAAATAAACCAGAGGTTGAGACTCATTGTTATAACAGCATCAGAGATAAAGCTAAATGTTCTTATTTATGGGGACCACCTACCTGGAGAGAAGAGTTTTCAATAAGCTTGACATAGGAATTCATAATTATTCCTATTTTAATAGGAGATTTCTTACCTGGAACTCCACTTGGTGGATAAACTTGGTAAACAATGGGTGTCTGTGCCCTGGAAAACTGTTTTGAAAATGTTATCACAAGTGAGCATTTCATTAAAATATCACAACCACAAACACAAAGACAAGTCATTCCTCACAGAGCATTTAGCTATAATAGTAAATGCTTACACTTTCTCAAATCACCTTATATCTATTTCTTTTCATCTTCATAATACTTCTGTGAAGCAGAGATGACAAATATTATTATAGTTCTTCCGTAGATGAGGTAAAGGAATTCATCCAAGGTCATATAGCATTCTCTCTTGTACCATACTGCCCAAAACTTGGCAAGCCTGCTTTTATCACCTGCCAGACTCAGAAACACATTTTACCAGAAGGAAAGTTAGGCAGGCCAAGCTTTAAAATACAAACCTTTTAATTCCATTATTATAACTTAGTATCTTGGGGTTTTGAAAGTTTTTTATTTTTCTAGACAAGAATTTACTTATTTAAATTAAAAGGATTACAACTTAAATTATTATCAACCAGCATAATGGTAAGGATTATTAAACTATGAAAAATTGGAAGTTGAATAAGCATACGAGTGAGGTGTTTATTAGGAAAATGGAAGGTGCCTGTGAGAAGAATACAATTCAAGTGATTCAAGGAATGGGAAGCAACATTACTCTTCAAAGAGTAAAAGCCTGGTCATGGCACTCCCAATCACCTGGCGATGCCCCTCCTTCCAAAATACTTTATCTGCTAATCGTAAGCCCTAAAACCCGACTCAGTCATTGTTATATCCTTGTACATAGCCTGGTATGAAGAAGACATTCAGATTTGTGTGAATGAATGGGGTGGACTCATCTGAGAGGACTGATATACCCTGCCTGAAAGCAAAGAGGAGATGAGACAATTCCAGAAATTCTATTTTGCCTATAGACATCCGGGTTAGTCCAAGATTTGTGCATTTCACAGTCAGGGCCAGTGTGAAGAAATTGAAAAGCAAAAGAATGGACTGACCAGGCCAAGGTGTGACCCTAAGCTAATGACTCTCCCAGAAAGAGACCTAGTCCCCTCTCCTGCCACCCTCAACCCCAACCACCTCTGGATGCCCAGACCACCTCCATTCCTGCAAAACAAAGATAACAAATTGTTTTGCTTGGTCTGCTTCCAGCACCCTGGGAGTCTGCCTTCCCAGGGAGAATATTACCAAAGAATAACTCATGGTTAATCAACAGCCCTAATCAGACATTGAAAATCAAAAGACACAAAGCCGATGCAGGTTGGCAAATGCAGTTTTAAGTTATTGATCCACAGGGCTGTGCAGTCTGCCATCAAGACTAGTGTCTTCTCTTTCTTAAAGGAAAGGGTTAGAAAATAGTTCACAGAAAATATGTACAATCAAAAGGTCAAAGTAAGAATGCTGTGACCTCCCCTGTTGGGAGCTGGCTCCTTTCTCACCAAAAGATAAAGATTAATGCACTTTCACACACACCTGCCAAACACACAATTCTCATGCCAGCCTCCCAGCCTTCTACTGCACCCAGGCCTTCAACTCACACTGGAACCCCCTTCATACCATTGTCACTTGCATTGGAACTTTACCATAGGAGCCTCATGAAGTAGACTAGTAGTTATTGCCCCTTCTCACAGATGTTAGAAACTGAGGCAGATGGCATAACTGAGTCCAAACCAATAAGAAAACATACCTCTTGATTTTCAACTTGAAATATGAAATTACCATTCAGTCTGTAAGCCTTCCACCAGAAGTGTGGGGGGAATAGAGCAATTTCTTTATCATTCTCTCTCAATTCCTCAGAGCGTGATGGGACAGGCTCAAGGTTCCACCTCAAAAAAGGCATCACTTGTGATGTCTCGCTGAGCTGACACAACATAAAATGGTACGTTTCTAACAGAAACAAGCCCTTGGTCACCCACCAAGCTAGAGACACGACAAAGTGAAAAATTAATGAGTTTCCAAATCCAGCTTCCCACTTGCTGATCTTTGAGAGAAAGTCAGGTCAGCAGCAGTAAGATGGGGGAGAAGAAAAGCCGCGGATTAGAATGATAAAGCCATAGCCACCAGCTGCTTGATAAACCTTCTGTGAGTTGTTCAAACTTGTCAGTGCCTGCAGCAGACTCTTTGGAGTGGACAAGATGGAATTAATTTTTAATACTCATGGTTCCCCAGTCCCAGCCCAAAACAAAGAGACACACTGTGTTGTGTTTAGCTTGGAATGCTCTCATTAACTGTATCCCCTGGTGTTTTTTATCAATTCTCCAAGCTAGTTAAACCACTGGAGGATGTGTTTTCTTTAATGTGCAATTTAAGAAGTGTTTCTCTTCTTTTCCCTCACTCTCCTTTCCAATCTTTAATAAGTAGGAAAACTGCTATCTGGGGTGAAAGGACATCAAAACCAAAAGCAGCATGGTGATTAAAGAGCATGCTTGGCCATCTCTTTTCCGTTGTATTCACTGAGATAGTATAGAGGTGATGGTGTGGGTCTTAATAAAAAGAATGATATTTTTTTTCTTTCTGTGCCTATGTGCAGAAGCAGCATTCAAGAGAAGAAGATTTCCTTGGAGTGAAAAAAAGTTGTTAAATGTGAATTGACAACAAATTCCAAATTTGAAAAATGAATTGCATATATAAAATGTGGATCATATTAAAGATGCATTTACAGAATGAAGTCTTATTCTAAAAAAAGGTTTAATTAATGACTAAATTTTACTTTTATAAACAGAGGCACCCTTTGAGAAATGCAACCAAGTCAAAGGAGCATTGCCAAACCTCTGCCTTTTATGAGAAGTCTAGGATCTACCCTTTCAGAGATCATTTTGGTGTAAAACTAATCTGAAATGGACAGTAAACTGAACCAAACATAAAATAAAGCCCTGGTATACAGACTGAGCCTCTAAAATAAGTCAGGCATTGAATCATGAACTCTCTCTCTCTCCCTCTCTCCCCGACCCTTTTAGCTCTGAGCTTAAAGGAGAATTCCACCAGCAAATGCCCTGTCAGTCTGGGGGTGGAAAATGTAGCAGAAATCAACCTTGATATAGAGAGGAAGATGGAAGTTGAGTCCCTGAGTCCCTTCACCATGCTGAAATTCAGCATAATTTCAGCTGTAAAATAAGATGATCTTTGTGGCTCTCCTGTGGGCTTCAGTTTGGGTGAGGATTCAGTGTCAGATCCAGGTTCAAATCCTACTTCTGCCATTTACTACCTGGGCAAATTATTTATGACGGGCAAATTATTTAATCTCCCTGAGCCACAGGTTGCTCATCTATGAAAACAGGGTAATAAATAGCTACCCCATAAAATTGTGCTCATTAATGTACATAAAGCACAGAGCCTGACATACAAGTGCTCAATACCTATCTTTCATTAGTCTAGCCTCAGAAACCGCATAACTATCATTTACCTTTCCTCTAACCCTGACAAAGCAGACTTTGTGGATGATTTATAACTTCCTCATCAATAGCACAAGCACACCTGCAAACCAGGCAAACACACATTCCCCCATCCTTAGAACCTACCTTGAAAGTACAGCTGTCTTGTGGTCCTGGATTTGGGCTGCCTACCACCTGTCCTCCAGAATGCACTTCCAGGTAGTACAGACCTTCATGTGCTTCGGACAGCAGAGACCTGAGGGCAGAAAGTGGAAATCCTTGAGAATCAAAAACTGTAAATTGCCAAAGCTAGCAGCAGCTCCCTGCACCTGTGAAGCAGAACTAACCAAAGATTCCTATATTTCATTTTTTACCTCCTAGATCCACTCAACCACTAGACTTTAAAGATTGGAGTTTTCAGCTAAAGAAGTTATGAATTTTTTATTGAAAATCCCTAAAATTAAAAAAAAAAAAAACATTTGCCTTGCTTCTCAGAATTAGGTTCACAGGACATTTAGAATTAGAAGGGATTTTGATAGATATTCTAATCCTAGTTTTCATTAGAAAAAAAATGATAGTCCAAGATCAGTTAAGAGACTTATATGTGTGAACACCACAAGGTAAGGACAAAGCGGGGCTTGAATCCAAGTCTCTTTCTGATAAAAGTTTACTTGTTGCAAAAAAAGTTTTGATTTCATAGTCATCTAAGCACCTCATAAACATTTCACGTATCCATCAAGAGAATCTTAGACCTTTTCTCCTCTTTTTATGAATATCACAGTAATTTCTTTGCCTCGTTGAGGCTGCCTTCATGTTGATTTTTGTAAGAAGGAGAATATGATGAATAAAGAGCTAGAGTTGAGGAGTGCCTACCCTCACCAAATCTTTAGTATGACCTTAAATATTTAAACCTGCACTGTCCAATATATTAGTCACTAGCCATATGTTTTTACTGAGCACTTGAAATGTAGCTAGTCCCAACTAAGATGTGCTATCAGTGCAAAATACACACTGAACTTTCAAGGCTTAGTATGCAAAGAAGGATATATAGTATCTCATTAATAATTTATATATTGACTACATATGAAAGGATAAATACATTACTAAAATTAGTTTTACTTGTTTCTTTTGACTTTTTAAGGTGGCTACTAGAAAATTTTTAATTACTTTTGCACCTCACATTATATATTAATTGGGCAGTGCTGGTTTAAATGTTACAATGTCTGTTTTGGTAAAAAGCAGATATGTCTTTTTATGATAATGAATATGACAAATTTCATTGATGATAAATTTTATATTTTTTCACATTTGAATGTTAGTTGAACTTGATATTCATCTCCCAATGAATGAGTATAATTAAAAGGGTAGTATTTCTTTTCCTCTAAAAAAAGATATGAAATCAATAGTGCATTTTTAAATCATTAGTATTTGGGGACTAAGGAGATAGAACTTGTAAATCTTCAGAGCTTTGATTATTTCACAGCAAGATCTTGCGGAAGCTCTATATCCAAATATATCATAAAACCTAGGAAAATATAAAGCCTGGTTTTAAAACCAACAGTTGTGCTATAAAGTTCAGTTCAACAGACATGTAAGGGCATCTTCAACTTTGTAAGGTATTCTGCTAAGCACCATGAGAACTTCAAGGGTGGACTTAAACACATCCCTGTCCTCAGAGCTCTTAATTCTGTAAGGATGAATCTGATGAGTGGGCAACTGACATAAGTGTCATGAGAAACATAAGTCTGAGGAAACGAGGCCATTAAGGCTACACATGCTATGCCTTTGTGTGAATTACAAAAAGTTCCCCCTTCAAAACGATGAATTGCACACACACACACACACACACACACACACACACACACTCCTTACAGATGAATTTCTAAAAGATGTTTCTTTCTCAAAGCTGTTGCGAGCATAGTCAGGATTTCAGCCCCTACTTGCCCCCCTTTCAAAGAAGGGAAAGATTACACTCAGTTGGTTTTTCAGGGAAGAAGTGGCATTTGCAGTGTGATTGGTTAGGATTTCAAGAGACAGAGATGAAAGAGGGTAAGCCTTCCTGAAAAACAGAATAAAAAATGAAAAGAAATTTTAATGTTTTTTTTTTCTTAAGCAATGATCCACTTTAAGACACAAATAGAGAAAGGATGAACTATTATAAACTTCATAGGCCAACAAAAAACTTGAGTAGAACAACGGGTTACCTGGAATGGTATATAAATCATATCAAAGTCAGTAAATATACTGAAGACTAAAGCAAATTTCTAACTGGTTTTGGGTTTATATACAATCATTATGACTATGCCTATTCAAAATGATCAGTTCTTTAGATGGCAAAATGGCACCATTTATTGAAATCTTAATAGCTACTGAACTCCTTGCCAAAAAAAAAAAAAAGTTAGAAACACAATCTACGTGAAACCCGCCCCCCACACACACATAAATATCTTTAAATTCTCAAAATTCTTCATCATATTCTTATTCTCCCAGAAGCCATAGAGCCTTGATAGGAACCTTTAAAGAAAAATATTCGCATGGAACATTTTTTAAAGCTATAGCTGGTAATTGCAGCCACAGCAAGGGTTGCTCTAATTTGCCTCCAAAAACTACTGAGATAAGCAAAGCACTTGTCCTGTCGTATCTTCTCATTCCCAGACAGGTATACCTGGTCCTGCACATCACCACCGGCAAATCCAAGAAGACAGGAGAGATGTCACAGGGGATGCTCGGCAGCACAGAAACAGTCATATTCACCAGATGTATTTCCAGCTGAAAGCCATTGGCCGGATAAAAGAGACCTGACTCTGAATCTAAACACAAGGCAAAGGGGAATCTCAGGTTGACCAGAGTTGTAATGCACATGAAAGAATGTAAAAACATGGCCACATGGGGGCAATGTGAGACACTGAGTTTGCATAAGGATTAAATTAAAACTCCTCACTTCCAAAGGAGACTGCTATATAGATGAGTGTTGTCACTTATGAGCTTATAAAAAAAAGTTTTCTCTCTTCAGGTCCATCCACTTAAATCCAGGATAGACTATTTCAACTCCCAAAGTTATTCTTTACCATGGTAGAGATGGACATACTAAGCCATGGTTTTAGAAGTTCCTATGTATTGAATTATCTACAAGGAAGATAACCAAGATTCAGGGGACACACTGCCAAGTACTATGTTAAGTGCTTCTATCTCTCACTCAGAGTTCCATGTCACAGCTTAGCATAAGGAAATGGACACTGCATACAATGGTGTGATGTACTGTGTTTCTGTGACTTTAGCAAGTGAGCAGCTGGAAACACAGAAGTTGGTCAGTTGGTTCATCTCCCTTCAGGCTCTCCTTAGATAAGGAAGGAAACCAAAGACTCGTATTCTTTAGGATTTTTTAGATCAATAAATAAGAAACTTGAATTCGGTAAGATACAAATCTACCATCAAAAATGACTGTGATCCACGTTCCTCCTGCAAGGCTACCTTCTTCAGGTTCAATGTGGAAATTCAGGCAAGACACTGTAAATAAGTAAAAAAAAAAACCTGGTTTTTAAGATCATATTTGATCCACAAGCTTCCCCAATGTTATAAAGCAAAATTAAGCTTCATCAGAATCACCAGAAGGTCACTGAGCCCCACTCCCAGAGTTTCTGATTCAGTATGTCTAAGGTAGGGCCCAAGAATTTACATTTCTGATCAGGTGCTCTTGGTGCTACTGATCTAGGGACCACACCTTCAAAACTCTGGGTAAGTTCTCACTGATTCTGTCATCTTAGACATCCAAAAACCCAGTGTTTACCCCAACAATCCTGAATTTCTACTTCCTCTGGAAAGGGCCTCAAGGACACATCTGGTTCCTATGTGAACCCATGATATCTCTTCTCTCTCTTTCCCACTCTTTAATAAGGTAATCATATTTAATTGTAAAGTTGCCACTTATATCTTGCATTTCCACTTCCCAGAGAAGAGGAAACACTTCTAGAAGCTGTCTCTATTTCAATCCTCCTGCTCAGTGTACCATCCTCTAATTTCTCCCTAGTTTTGAATACATAATCAGAATGACTCTCTAAATAGACACAAAATTCTCTAGATATTTTCCTTGCTTGCTCAGAGAGGGGCTGAAGCATGATCAGTGCTGGAATTTCCAAAGAAGGAAGGAAGGGAGGGAGGGAGGG